TGACAATAATGGTGATGATGGTGGTGCCATTTTATTAATATTGTAAAAAATGTACTCCCTCGGTCTTTGTCTGTGGGTCAACTGAGTTAACCAACTAATTGATTTTACAGTTTGGGAAAGATGGAAGGAAGTTCTACTTCAGAAGGCTACGAGAGTTCTTCCAAAACCAAGAAAAGAAAAGATAAAGATTTAATCTCCTTGCTGAAGTCCTTCAACTCTTTAGACTAAAACCGTTTATCTTCTCATTCCATTTTACATAAGATGAACTAAATAAGCCTGGCCAGCAATAACATGTGTAAAAAATAATATAAACAGAGCCACTCTGAAACGGAGTTGGAGCTGCCTTCCGAGAGAAACTGCCTTGCACGCCTTGAACCTTCGGAGACAGGGTGAAATAACATTCACACCAGGCATATCCCAAAGAACTGTTTGCAAAGATGAGAAGAAAGCAGAGATGACTACCAAAATGAACATTAAAAACATTCTTTAGAATTAGTGTCACTATGTTAGCTTATCTGCACCAATAGAAATGACCTCCTTCTATTGCAGTAACTGTCCCCTTCCCTTTGTCACAGATACCCATTGCTTTGTCCACTAATCGGAATACTGTTTGGGCCTTTGCATGAATCAGTGTGTCCCAAATAGTATTCTTTTCTTTTCTTCTCCCTCTCCTTCTTCTTCTTCTTCTATCACAAATAAATGTTGCCTCTCACTTCGGCCTTTTATTTTCAGGTTAACATGTGGACTAGAGCATGCTCTTTTATGGAATGACTTTTGTGGGTGACTCAGTCCTGCCTCCTCTGCCAGGCTTTCATCTACAGGGGCAGAGTCTCACCTGGAGCCTAACATGAATGGGAGAACGGGATAGACAGATATTTAAATCATTTTAAAGACCATTTACCCCAATCATTCTAATTTTTACTACTCTTATAATAACAATATGTTATGTAGCAGTTTATCTGTAATGTACACTAAGGTTGTTTTGTAGTTATTACTTCAAATTAATGATAAGTCATTTATAATAACAACAACATAAATGTCCAGTCACAAAGGAAAGGTAAGATAGGATGTAGCCATTAAATATTATATTTATGAGGAGTGTATATTAATACAAAAGATCATTAAATTATTATGTGAGAAAAAACCAATATTTTGTGAAGATTCCAGCTGTGAAGTAGAAACAAATGAAACCTCTGTTTTAAAACAAGCTGAAAGGAAATGGACAATGTTGGGAGTGGTTATCTTCAGGTGAAGGTACCTGTTTTCTTCCTAAGTTTTACTTTTACTCAACTCCAAACATTCTTAAAAGGGAAACTGATTGGCTCTATTTCCTTTGGGAAATTAGAGACACCAATGAAGGTGTTCTATACAAGGCAAAATGGCAGCACCAAGATTATTGTTCAGAGTTTTTGTGTTTCTAGATTTTTACATCTCAATTCTGAATCCAACTCACTCCTTAACTGCACTTACCTCCACCCCAACACACACACACACACATCAGTGAAGTAGGACGAGCTTTCTCTGAAGAGCTGTTACTGTCAACTAAGCCTCATGTTCTTCAAATGGTAATCAGCCACATGCCCCACTCACTGCCTTTTCCCTGAAAGTCTTGGTAGGTGGGAAGAAAGGAGAATTTCTTCATAATCAAATTATCTCTTAAAGCAGTGCCCATTCTCAGATGATCACTGCAGTGAACCAACCACAAAGCCCAGATTATCAGGCACCATCATGACTCAAACCACATAAAAATTAGGGCCAAAGTCAATTTTGGGCTCAGAGCATTTTCTCATGTTTAATTGCAGGGTAGGTTTTTTTTTTTTAAATAAAGATTTAGTAGAACTTTAAAAGCGAGGTGTCTGTCACCTGACTAACTCAGTCAGTAGAGCATGAGAGTCTCAGGAGTATGGTAGTCAAGTACAGACACGGTGGTGGGGAAATGGAAATGCAAATTTAATACTGCCGCTTTGAAGGCTCTATTAAACCTGAAAACAGCACGCCCCATGGAGCAGCGATTCCTCTTCTCGCCATATATCCTGAGAGTTGTCACATGTGTACAAGTACACAGTCAAGGATTTTAATTATAAAAAGGTTAGTTTTTATGAGTAATTGGAAAGCATAAATGTCTCTCAACAGGGAAATGGATACAGTTTATAGGGTGGAATTTCTACAGCAGTTAAAATTGGTGAGCCAGATAGCATATGAGTCAACGTAAATATATCAACATGTGAATAAAAGAAATAGATCATTGAGGTTTTAAAAGAAATATCTATAAACGTATAGTTCCCATAAGAATAAATATCAAAAACATGTTTAGTGAAGAGGGCAAGCTTTAGAATGACATCTGAAGAATTATGCCATTTCCGTAAAAATTAAAATAATAATAATAATAATAATAATAATAATAATAATAGCATCCCTGATCGGGTAGCTCAGTTGGGTGGAGCATCATTCCGTACACCAAAACACTGCAGTTCAATCTCTGCTCAGGGCACATACAAAAGACAACCAACCAATCAATGTTTCTCTCTCACATCCATGTTTCTCTTTCTCTCTCTCTCTCTCTCTCTTGCCACCCCACTCTTAAAATCAATAAACATATTATCGGGTGAGAATTAAAAATTAATTAATTAATTAATTAATTAATCAACAAACTATAGCTGTACATTCTGATAAGTGCAGATATATGTATGTAATAGTACAAGAACATTCTAAAAGGTAACACGGCAAAATGATAACAGGGATTAACTCTGGGGAAAGATAGAGGGCACTGGGAATAGGGTGGAAAAGGTAAAAAGGGACTTCCGCCAAGATGGAGGCATAGGTGGAGGAAGCACATCGCCTCTGTACACAACCAAATCTAAGACAACTATTATTAGCAACAGTCACAACACAAGCCAACACAGAAAATCGAACAATACTGAGTCCAAAGGACAACTAGATACTTCAGCCTGACCGGTAAGAGGAGCAAGACCAGCAGCAGAGCAGGGTAGCACAGGAAAACTCATCAGGCGGTCAGGCGTGCGGAATCCGGTGCAGCGCTGGCAACCGTGGGCGAATCAGCAAGCATGCTGCCGGAAAAGCGCACAGCAGGTCGGACCGTGGTCGCGCATTACGTGTGGAGAGACCAGTGAGAAGGGAAGCCGGGGCAGCAGGCTCGCACAATTCAACGGATAAACAAGCCCCCAGCGCAGGGCTAGCGGAGAGGACCGCCATTCTCCCTCTCTGACCACGCCTCCACACACAGCGTCACAAACCAGCGACCTGGGCTCCCAGTCCAAGGCTTCGCTCCCTCAACTTAACAGCACAAACAGACCAAAAAATGGCTCTAGGACAGACTCAGAGCCCCAGAGCCGATAGACCTAAGTGATGAAGAAATAGCCAGCTTTCAGATGCACAGTTCAAAACACTGGTGATCAGGATTCTCACAGAACTGTTGTCACAAATTAGAGAAACATATGGAAGCGAAACTAATTGAAATAAATGGTGATGCACAGGAAGCCAACAGTAATGGAAAGAAAACTGGGACTCAAATCAAGGGAGTGGACCAGAAGGAAGAAAAAAATGACCAAACAGAAAGGAGTGAAGAAACAAGAATTCAGAAGAAATGAGGAGAAGCTTAGGAACCTCCAGGACATCTTTAAACGCTCCAACATCCGAATTATAGGGGTACCAGAAGGGGGAAAGGCACAGCCACAACTGGAACACTTATTTGAACAAATAATAAAGGAGAATTTCCCCAATCTGGCAAAGGAAATAGACTTCCAGGAAATCCAGGAAGCTCAGAGAGTCCCAAAGAAGTTGGACCCAAGAAGGAACACACCAAGGCACATATAATTATATTAGCCAAGAATAAAATGAAAGAAAGAATTCTAGAAGCAGCAAGAGCTAAGGGGACAGTCACCTACAAAGGAGTGCCCATCAGACTGTCAACAGATTTCTCAAAAGAGACCTTACAGGCAAGAAGGGGCTGGAAAGAGGTATTCCTAGTCATGAAATCCAAAGAACTACAACCAAGATTGCTCTATCCAGCAAAGCTTTCATTTAGAATGGAAGGGCAGATAAAGTGTTTCTCAGATAAGATCAAATTCAAGGAGTTCATCATCACCAAGCCCTTATTATATGAAATGTTAAAGGGACTTATCAAAGAAAAAGAAGTTAAAAAAAAACATGAACAGCGAAAGGACAGCAAACTCACAGTTATTAACAACCACACCTAAAACGAAAGCAAACTAAAAGGACAGCTAGATCAGGAGTGGAAACATAGAAATGAAGATCTCAAGGAGGGTTAGCAACAGGGGAGTGGGAGAAAGAGAAGGGGGGAGAAGGTACAGAAAATAAGTAGCAAAGACAGTAGATAGAAAATAGATGGGGGGGCAAGAATAGTATGGGAAATACAGAATCTAAAGAACTTGAGACACATGGTCATAAACTAAAGGCGGGTATTGGTGGGGATGGGGGGTAGGGTGGAGGGGAATGAAGGGGGGAATAGAACAACTGTAACAGCATAATCAATAAAAAAATTAATTTAAAAAAAAGGTAAAAAGGGATTCCAGCTTGTTAGTGATATTCTAATTTTTCAAAGGTAATGCCTTCCAGTGTCACTTGTGTGTTTTCAGCTTCTTTCCAAAGTTTTCATTGACTAGGGCCCTTCTGTAAGAGAGCATTTCCTACAGCACCACACCCACTTTCCTAATCCTTTCCCTCCACCCTCGAACACCCAGCACACCCCTCAACCAAGTTCACTGCTGTTGTGAGAAAGTGCCACAAAGCCATTGCTCACTTTCACAACCTGCCTAGGGCCCAGAGCAAATCACACTGGCAATGAATGAGTCTTTGCAGAAAAATTTATGTCAGAAAACAGGTGGTAGAAATGTCATTTTCTTCAAAATGACCCCATGAATTTTATCCCTTTCCTGATGATTTTTAAGAGCAAAGTTTTTTGGAGTTTGGCACCAGACAAACCAACTGGAGAAAATAAGGCAACTCCCCACATTTCATACCTGTCGAAAACCACTGCAGAATAAGCCCTCTCAGCAAAGATGACATCCGAGGCCCAGAACTCCTTAGTGGCCTTCAGACCCCTGCCTTTGCCTTCAGCAGTGAAGACCTCCACGTTCTCCATTTTCCCTATTGTCATCTCACAGTCTTTCAGGCAGCACCGCAGTTTTTCAACGCAGAGCCAAGGCTCTTGTCGTTGCTGCTATTTTAGCACCTTCAGCATCCCAAAGAGCAAGCCTATAAATGGACAAGCCACCTCCCCCTTCCCCACCCCCTCTGGTCACTGGGCTCTCACCTCCCCCTCTGCCACTTTTCCTGGAGGCAGGGATGGGGCACACAAGAGGACAGTGATGTGGGAAGAGTCCCATTCATCAGCCAGCAAAGCTGACAGAGCCGAGAATGACCATGGGCTGGCATGGCTCTGGGACTGAGTATGAAAACTTAAAAAGTTCCTTTGCAAGAAAAGGCTCAGTCTTGGACAGCAGTCATGTTCGGCTTTAGTTGGAATAGGGAGCACTTGTTCAGTAAGGTATTTTTAGCATCCAGATGCCTCTGTCAATCCAAAGTGGACAGCTGAAATGGTCCAGAAGGAGAGGTGACGCCTGCTGCTCTGGGACCCTTCATCCGTCAGGCTTACACTTCTTCAAGTGATGTGGCCCCTTATCCTCCCATGCCCTCCCCCACAGTAGACTTTTCAGAAAGCAAAAGGTGGATGGCAGACACTGAGCCACCCATTCAACATTCACCTAACAGTACTGTTTAGGCTCCCACAGTACCCCTGCAGGGCATAGAAGTCTGGGAATTCCCTCATAATGCAGGTGTGCGGGGTGCAGGCTATCTGAGAGGAGGCAAGTCTTAAAAACAAAAACTCTTATTTCTATCTTGCTATCAAATCGTTAACATATGCTTACTGCTAGGAAAATAGCCATGTGCTCTGTGCTTCTTACCCAGCAGTGAAGACACTGAAGAGACAATTCTGAAATCTGCAGCGAACTAAATACCAACTCCCACTTGGGTTGAAAAGAAAGACGCTTACAGATCTAGAGCCATGGCTTATCTTCCATGTAGTATTTTTAGTTTCTGGGATGCATCTATTTCTGGGAGCCCTGTCTCCGTCTGGACCGCTGTGAGTGTGGTCATTCTCCAGCACTAGCTTCTGGGTCAGATCCACACTTGAATTCTGAACTTACTACTACGACTTTGAGATAGAAACTGTGACACAAGAATAATAGTTTCTCTCCCTGGATTGCCATGAGTGTTGAAGGTGGATAACAGACATAGCACAGCACGTGGTACTTAATCAAGAACTCACTAAATGATATTTCATTTTTTTCTGTCACATTATCTTCCCAAAACTATCAAGATGTACTAAAAATTCTAATGTGTCTTCAACCAAAGTGCATCTCCCGAAACTTCTTTGACTCTTGCAAGCAGATCAAAAATCCTTTGACAGACCACATATCCTGATCTATAGGTAAGAACACATAGCCCCTGGAGTCAGAGAATATCTCAGTGAGTTCTGATGTATCCAGAAGAGAAAAACAGCTTAAGACATTTAAAGTTGGGTGCCCCGAAAAGTAAAACACAAATGCTTCCGAGGAAAAAAAGGTTAAAAAGGAGTTCTTCAATTCAGGTTAGCTTTAAATGAATGCCTGTACCCACATTAGCTGGCAACTCAGGGCACTGCAAAAACCGGAGCCTTCCCTCAGCCTGCCAGGATTCAGTTGTTCTCCAGAACAAGTTAGACCCAAGCCAAGGTCAAGGACATACCCAGCTTTAGTTATATCCGTGAATCTCAACCTTATGAGAACACATTATATTATTAAAGTGTGGTAGACAGGATAACGACCCCCCCCCCCGAAGATGTATAGGTCCAGATCCCCTGATCTGTGAATAATCTACCATACAAAGCAAAAAGGGCTTTGCAAATGTGGTTAAGTTATAAATATTAAGAGAGGTAGGTTATCTGGGATTATCTAAGTGGGCCCTGGAATCACAAGAATCTGTGTGAGAGGAAGGCAGGGATGTGGGAGTCAGAGAAGGAGAGGTAGCAGTGAAAGCCAGAGTGTCAAAGGAAGAGCCATTTGAAGATGCTGTATTGCTGGCTTTGAAGATGGAGGAAGCCATCAATTGTAAGATAATGAATTTGTGTTATTTTAAGCCACTAAGTTTGTGGTAATGTGTAACAGCAGCAGCAGGAAATTAATACATAAAATATCATATGCATCTCTCATTGTAGTAGATATTATACAGCATTTCATTTGCTACTCCCAAATGAAATTTATACATAATTTACTAACTCATACCTGAAAAACATAAATTACTAACTCAAATGGTCTGAATGTTTGGGACCCCTGAATTCATATGTTGAAATCCTTACCCCCTAAGATTAGTAGGTGAGGCCTTTGGGAACCCTTGTGAAAGGGATTAGTGCCTCATAAAAGATGCTCCAAAGAAACTAGCTCTCTTTCACCAAAGTGGCCTTCACCAGACCATGCTGGCACCCTGATCTAGGACATCTGGCTTCCGGAACTATGAGAAATAAATGACTGTTGTTTATAAGCCGCCCATCTGTGGTATTTTGTTATTGCCACCCAAATGGACTAAAACATTAACCTAACATAATAAGGAAGAAACATAATGGAATTTACCCTATAATAAAATAATATACATTTATTATAAGTTAAATATGCTTGGGTACTACACTAGAAAACGTCATAAAGTGAGATGTTTGCTCCTAAGTAGAATCACTGTGACAGTTGTATGTGTGGTGATTTTCTGAATAGTGAATGACTCTTAGTCAAGTTCTGAACAAAAAAATTATATAATCGTCCTGCAGTTAACAAGACAGTGCATTCCTAGAAAATTTGGTGTATTTTAAAACTTTACAAAAGCTACTTTATAATTAAATATAAAATAAAATACTAGAATCAGAGCATTATAAACAGGGTTTTCACCTATCTGAAATGAGCACCTGGATCTTTAGGGTTGTGCAGAATGGGCAAAGCTTTTTACTACATCAGAGCATCTCTTGCTTCCCAAGACATCTAGTGTCTTTGCCCAAGACCAAGATAAAGTGTGTCGGCACCAGACATCAGGATGTTGGCTGGTAATAAGGAAGGGGACACAGGGTCCTTCTATGTTGCATATCAACACAAATCCTATGGAAGTTTTTTTTGTTCATTTTCCCTCTTCGTCCCTCTGCTCCAGTCCCTGCACACCCCCCCCCCACTGGAATCCAAACCTTTCTTCAAGGCCCTGGCCCTCCCCACAACCCTCCAGTTGCACCTCACAATGATTGTCACAAACAAAAGTTTCCCTCACATTTTTCAATAGTAACATCATTTGTAGCCTTTTCTTTTACTTATTTTATTTTATTTTATTGATTTTAGAGAAGGAAAGAGGAAGGGAGAGAGAGGAAAAGGTAAATTTGTTGTTCCACATATTTATGCATTCACTGGTGAATTCTTATACATGCCTTGATCAAGAGTTGAACCTGCAACCTTGGCGTATCGGGTTGAAGTTCTAACCAACTGAACTACCTGGCCAGGGCTCCCCCTACCCCCATTTCTAAAATGCCCCCTAAGTGGTGCAACTTGCCTCCATTGAGAATTGCTGTCCTTGTTCAGCAGAAAAATCACATCTAGAGTTTTGAAAGAATTTCTTACTGCACTACTAAAGATGTTTAACCAGAGAAGATGCAGGAAAAATATGAGCGCTTTCTTCAATGTCATACTGAAGTGGGCAAGAAGTAGATTCAATTACATTTCCAGAGAGATGAAAATAGGTTGCCAGAATAGACGTGACCTTGGGATGTAGACTTGAGCTTCACAGACCTTCATAATATGTTTCTGTTGAGCCCTTTTTCTCTCCAGGAAGATGAGAACTTTTTCCATTGTTAATGATTTTAATAGCCATCCAGTCTCTTTCTTTTGTGTGTCTGGATCAAGAAGGGTAGTGAGAAAGGGAGAAAATAAGACAGCTCAAGCAAATGGACCTCTGGTCCAGGAAAGAGGGCTCACCTGGGAGATTTCAGACAACGGGAAGACAAGGATGACCACTATGGTTCTAACTACCTCTATTTCAGCCGGACTTCCCGACACCTCAGCCCACATACACATGCCAAGAACATTACTGTGGCTACTGAGTACTCCCACACCCCAAAGAAGGTATGAGGCAACTGCTGCAGGACATGCAAGGGTAACCCCAGGTCTCTAGTCATGCACCTCAAGGGTAAAAGGAAGTGACATGAAAAGGCCAAGAGTAGGGCTGTTTGGAGAGAGTCATCATCACAGGATCAGACATGGGCTTCAAGTATCCTCTCACAATAAGCTTCCAAATCTTTAACCATAACCTGTATTCATATTACTATTGTCCTGACCTGTGGAAAAAATAATATCAGAAGGCTTGAGAGAGTGATTGCATTCTCTTCAGTTGAATATGTTGTAATTCAAGGAATATGTACAAATAAGTGTGAAGGTAGAGACACAAATGAAGTCCACAATGAAGTGATTGTTTGTGATAAGTTTTGAATCACTGGGACCATCTGTGTGCCTATTAATGGGGTGGCAGCTGATCTCTCACACCGTGGGGAAAACTCTAGTCACCCGATATACTAAAGACCCACTGTGATTCCTACCCCTGCAGGCACCACCATCTAGTGACAAACCAAGGAAGCTGCAAGGTTTTAAATATTTCCTAAGGCCTGATTTAGTAAAAGAACTGCCTTTATCACTGGTTGTGACTACATTTGTACCTGGAGCAGGTACATTTAGGCCACAGGGCCCATGAACTAAGTTTGCTTTGTACCTCTTTAATGGTTTGGGGGAAAATCAAGAGATCATTTTGTGACACATGAAATTCAAAATTCAATGTCCATGAATAAAATTTCATTAGAGAACAGCCATACTCACTTGTTTACATAATTTCTATGACTTCTTTCATATTACAACAGCAGAGCTGAATATTTGCAACATAGACCATAAGGCCCACAAAGATGAAAATATTTACTATCTGGCCTTTTACAGAAAATATTGCCAAATGCTGCTTTATAATAATAACAGCTGAATGCCTGGCAGTGTTAAATAGGCTAGTGTAGGGGACTGGTTTGTCTGGGCCTGGCAAATGTGACTCAGCTCTGTATGGAAAACCTACAGAATCGAAGTGGTGGGCAGCAGCCAGACCTTCAAAACG